CTTTGGGGTGGACCCACTTGTATATATTTATAACTTGGAAAAAAAAATTACAAAAAATACTTAAAACTTTTCTTATTGACAAGCAAGTCACTTTTTACTAACAATTTATTTTACAAAATAATTTATAACTTGCATCATAAAGAAATAACTTTTAAACATAGCCATTTATCTACTCGACTGGAAAAAAACACGATAAACTATCCTATTACACGACAAAAATGAATATAATAGTTAAAACGCGTTATAACTAGTCAAGAGTTGTCCAATTTCGAGTTGATGTGGCACGTTCACCTAATTTTGATTTTTTTTCTTATTACTGATTCAACTTGAAATTCGACGTAACTCCTTGACTTTGACATTTACATTTTTAGGTCAATATTCCAAAACAATTTCTCAAAAAAAAAAAAAAAAAATTTGATAAGTGCTTGTTTGGTAGTTAAGTGTTTATAAATTGTGGGTTTTACGAAGGGTATAAATAATACTAAATTCGTCCCATAAAGATAGACTTAATTTCTTTTTTTGTCTGTGCCAAGTTATAGACCACTTTCCTATTGAAAGTATAGATTTTTTTTTGTTTTTTTTTAATATATCCCTATTTAATATACATTGTTATCAACAAATATAAATTAATTCTATTTAAAATATTACTTAAATGAGTTAATGTAGGGATAAATTAGAAAATATGTAAGAAAAATTTATATTTCAAATTATATTAATTAAATTTTCTTAACATGTGTGGAAATAATAACAATCCTATCTTCATGGGACGAATATAGTAATAAGTGAATATTAAGTTATAGATATTTTTTATTATGAAATGTGTGCGTAAAAAGTAGTTTTTAATAAAATAAAATTATAATTTACGAATATAGTAATAAGTGAATATTAAGTTATAGATATTTTTATTATGAAATGTGTGCATAAAAAGTAGATTTTAATAAAATTAAATTATAATTTTAAGCATTGCCAAACATGCTCTACTTATCTTTCTCACCTTTGATTTGCTGATTTGCTTAAATTCCAGCCTCTCCTCTCCTTTCCTCTCTATTGTACTGTTTAGAGGTTGACGGTGATTTTTTTATCTTATCTTTCTATAATAATACCAATCTCTCTCTCTGTGCATTGACACGACAACGCTCTCAAAAAGATCATAAAATCAAATGAAAAACAGCTCTGCTTTATACGCGTTCTCTTTCTCACCCCTTTACAAACCCTAGCTTTCTCTCTCCGCGTTTTCCTTCATTTTCAGTACTCTGCCGATTCTGTATTTTCACGGAAATATTGGTATATATATCTATAGCTGCGAGGGTTACTATGGACGGTAAGAAGAAAGTGGATCCCGAGTTGACTACTGAGTCGAGCTGGAGATCCGGTGGAGGAGATGAGTTTTTTTTTGGAAGCGACAAGGAGACTAGTATACTCGGTGAGTTCGGGTGGAATATTCCGGCAGAATCCAGCTATTGTTTCGGAGATTCCGATCGGATAGACTCCAATCTTGGTGGAGATGGCATAAGTAATTACGTTTCAGTTTCAGCTCCTCAGAGAACTATTACTGAACAGACGGCAGTGGAGGAGAAAGTGGAGGCATCGGTGTCTTCGAGCTCGTCGGAGGATCTGCCCGAGAAGTCGACGGCATCTGGTGGCTCTTCCGCCAAACCGCCGGCGGAAACAGCGTGAGTGCAGGGTAGTGTAGTGCATGCACATGTGCTTTTTCAAGGGGCAATAATATGAAAAACGAAATTCATTAATTAATTCCAATTGGCAAAAACAGGTAGAACACTTGAGCACACAGAAAATGCTTATTCCGTATTCCATGTCCGTACAGTTTCTGCAGCGAGAGTAGAAGCATCAAATTTGTTTTTGCACCCAATTTGGGGCATAGGTATTTTGGAATATAACCAAAATTGAGGGGGCTTTTGCGTGTATTTGTTAAAGTTATATCGTGGATCAACCACAGCCGTTATTGCGGCGGCAATGGCGTGCTGTAGCCTATAACACTCCTTCTTTCTTTTTTAACTTTTATTTACTTTTTCAGACGAAAGGCAAATTTATTAGAAAAATTACACACTACATAGTACTGTTTTTTGCTTAAAAAATGACGATGACGATGCATGCATCTCGTCCAGGAAAAATAAAATATAAATATTTACATAAAATCTTACTTTTTCCCACAGAAAATAAGCTATAAAATCTCAATGACGTCTTCACTTGCAATTTTCTTCATTACTTCATAAATCTATAATTGAATTAATTGCATTTTTGGTCTGTACTGCACATGACAAGTCATTTTATTTTGCATTTTGTATCATCTATATTTTCTAAATAAAGTAGAAAATGGGGTAGACAAAAATATGTAAGCTTCGCAAGTTACTTGGCAAATTGCTCCATCTTAATGCTTGGTTTCAAAAATTTTGGGAACCAGTATATGGCACTAGTCCTTGACGTGGTCTGATCATTCTGAGAGCATTTTGTTTTAGTAGCTAAGTTTTAAGAATCTAGGTGCGTTTTTTGGCATATCCCTTTTTCATGTTGTGCAGACATGTCCCTGAATAGATCATGGAATACAGAAAAGCGTAGTATTATGCTATTTGCATATAATGATAATTCATTGTTGAATTATTTTGTTTGGTACATTGGATAGTGTTGTGAACAAAATTTCAATTATTTTTTTCTTATTAATACCGTGTAGTGTTGTTCAATCCAAACATGTAATGATTTGTTACGTGAACATCCTATATGGGGGAATTGAAGAGTGATTGTAAATAGTAAAATTACAAGGGATATGTGGGAACCTATCACAGTCGATCTAATTAATGATCTGCTTGCACCTGTGACTTTCAGAATGTACATTGTACCTTTTTCATCATTGGTTAACATCATTGCTGCCAGCTTTCTATTTCCTATGATTTCATGAAATCAAGTATACATTGAAATTCATGGTTGAACATTCTGCAGGAGCAAGGCTAGAAAAAAGGGACAAAAGCGAATTCGTCTGCCACGTTTTGCGTTTGTTACTAAAAGCGAAGTTGATCATCTAGAAGATGGTTACAGATGGCGCAAATATGGACAGAAAGCTGTAAAAAATAGTCCATTTCCAAGGTTTTCCTTGTTCTTCTGTTTATAAACAGATATGTTAATCCCTTCTGTTCATCTCATTTTATAATCGAAAATATAGTTCTAATATTTATTTATAACCCTGAAAAAAATATGTGAATAGCTTTGAAGTATTAGCACGTCTCACATTGCTCGTCTATAATTGAGATGTGCAATGTATAAGGTGAATGCAAACCTGACATTGTAAACTATTTTTACATTAAATACATACTTCATCAAGGTAGAAGCAAAAGCACGCATGTTAGGGATGACTCGAGTTTATTTATCTGGCCTTGTATTGAGAAGAGTGTCTAGTGACTCCATCCTTGGCACCTAGGGGGATTGTTAGCATGTCACATCTCACTTGGGTACAATTGAGATTTGGGATGTGCAGCGTATGAAAGTTTGGCCAATGAATAAATATGATGTTTGAACCTTATAGCAGCCCTCTGATTAATTTTGAAATAGAAACAGAAACGTAAATTGTTGCCAGTAGTATATTGCCGACAAGTTGGGTATTTTTTTAATTTCAGAACAATGTAGGATGACACTGTATTTGACTAATTTCTTATTATGGTAAAGGAAATTAAAGCACTACGAGTTTGGTGTCATATAGAAGCCTGCTTTCTTTCAAATGATAGGGTTTGATCTACATAAAATTACTTTTCAGTTAAAGCACTTCCAAATTTATAGCTCCTTACAGCACTTGAAGGACAGATTTTATTCTTATTGATTTTGGTTTCTTTCAAGTTAATTTATAGCTCAATCAGCTTTGTTTATTCAGTAATTATTTAAAATATTTTTGTCTTATCGGTCGATCTTCTCTTCCTTTGTCTTATATCGAATAATGGAACATAGATAATATCAACCACTTCTTGGCTGTCCGATGGATAAACGTTATACAAACAAGATGCATCTAGCTTGTATCCTGTGCTTTTGTGTAAATATTTACATCTCATGATATCTATTGAGTCATCATATGTAGAGCCCTCCCTTCCTTTCTTGGATGCAAGTTCTGATTTCACCAAAAGCAAGATCCATCCAATTTTGTAATGATGAAACTATATTGATTTATAGGCCAACAAACCTTAGGAGGACATCTATAGGTAAAATGAACATATAACTGCCGTGCGTTGTAACATTAATTGGAGGGTATTAGACGGAATTAAGGACTTAAAAGATGCTAAATCATATTATTTGCTGTAATGAATTTTCTTTTAGCAGCATTGCTTTCTGTGCAGGAGCTATTACCGGTGTACAAATAGCAAATGCACGGTTAAGAAAAGAGTCGAGCGTTCGTCAGAGGATCCATCTGTTGTGATAACAACATACGAAGGGCAGCACTGTCACCATTCAGTTGGATATCCTAGAGGTGGAGTTATTTCTCATGATCAGGCAGCATTTGCTAGCCGGTTGACCCCTTCCATTCATTACCCTGCAGGATTCCAATACCCTCGAGAAAACTCACTCCACGTTGCACAATCCCAGCATGTCCCTGCAGCTGCGGCCAAGATTGGAGAATCTCATTCAGTACAAGAGGCAACAAGTTCACAGCCCCAAGTGGACCAAGGACTACTCGGGGATATTGTGCCATCTGGAATGCGAAATGTATAAAATGAGGGTACACCCTTAGCCCATTCACTTAACTTATGTGATAATAGGGACTTTTATCTTGAAATCGCCATTTGTCTTGTTTCCTTTTCCCTTCTAGAACTTATTTTGGTACGTTGGAACAGATATGATTGGATAATATCGATCAAATGTAGATAGTTTGACAAGATGTACATTAGAGAGCACGTTTGTTACACAATATTGATAATTAACACTGCAATGAAAATATTTGAACTTAGCGCTTGTATGGAGTGATTTTTTAGAAATAAATTTTCTCAACATTTGTTTTCAATCACACATTCTACCAAAAAAAAAAAAAAGATAATAATAAATAAATAAATAAATAAATTATTTTCCATGTTTCTCAATTTTTTTAGCTACATGTTCTTAAAAAACTCACTTTTCATATATTCTCTTGCACACACGAGCTTGGTGCTTGGTTTGTAAAGCTTTCGTTTTAAAAAGCATGTCAAATTTCATTCTTAACTTCACATTTTATTGAATTTACAATATTTATCCATTTTTTCACCGTCGGTATAATGAGAATCACCCACTTTTATCGACATCACACGACTCCTTACTTTTCTTTTCTAATCTTGACCAAGACATGCGGTTGAAATTCTAATATATTAACCGGATACATGTTGGTCCATTAGATTAAAAGATCCTTTTCATGGTCAATGCGCTATAGATTGTCCACTGATTTGATTTCAATATTCAACATTTCAACTTGTTTCATATTTATTTCTTGATTTTATAACACCCTAGGTCTCAAGAAAAATTGCTTGCCGTTAGACCATAAACATGTGCAAGCACTGTACTCTTATTTACTTTTGTCGGTAGCATCAATAATGATAAATAGTATTATTAATCAAGAATTTCTATATCAATTTCCCGTCACCCTCAGTACTCTTAAATCTTAATTGATTATGTCGAGTAGAACGGTCAATTTTTTCTAAGAATTGCCCACCCTAGCAGGCAAGGACTACTTAATTAAAGTCAATAAATAGAAGTGGAGTTTTCTTCAAACGACGAGTGCCAAGATTAACTATTTAATTAAATAATATTAATGATGCCGAAAAGATGTATTGCCACTTGAAATCAAAACATTAGGATTCGACTTTAAAATACATTTTGCTCTAAGCATAGTGAATATTTCGATGACACACTTTGTAAAGAAGAAAGAAAGGACCACAAAAAATTAACAATCGACACAATATTTGACGTAATAGTATTTTTTAATGTAGAAGTAGACAAATCCTCTTTTAATATAGAATTAATGATCGGTGAACCTTATGATGATTTAAGATGCAGTTGGCCGACATTCGAGACGTGATGTTTACCCGTTTTTGTGTTTTCTTGTGGTGTGAATTGATCCATTTGTTTTTATTGAATTATTTTAAAAATTTATTTATTGATGATTACAACACGTGAATACCTTATCTTCTTTATTTCTTGCCAATCAAAAGTTTTCACCAGCTTGCATTACTAATTTATTTGTTTACAAATCCAATTCCATACATTTCTTTTTTTTTATTTGAGTCAACTTATTTTTTATTTTTAATCAAGTCAATTTCTCCTACCCAATCTTGTCTAATTGATTTGAATGACCAAGCAAGGTGATTTTTTTATGGGTTAGAAGCTTAACATGGTAGAGTCTAATATATTTTTAACATTTAAGTTGGCGAAAATTGTTCAACTTTAAAAGTTCAGAACGACTCTTGCTGAAAAATAAATTTAGGGCCGACTTAAGATTGAGGACCTCTACTACAATTGAGTTGATACAAATTAATTTTGAGACGATAAGTTGGCCCATGCTATTGAAATACTCATTATAAGTTCTAAACTACAATGTAGCTCTCAATCTTTTGAAATCTTCGAAGATTCGCTGACCATAAGAGTATAGCCGGGGGGTGGGGGTGGGCTGAAATGAGTAAAACGTGTTTTATAAAAATAAACTTTCTTTTATTACTAAATTTTATTTTCAAGCAGAAAAATTAATGCAATATTACAGTATATAAAGGTCATGAGTTCAAATCTTAATCTTGTTCAACAATCAACGTGACAAGTTTTTATTTATATTTTTTTTTATAAAAAGTGAATACAATCTACATGTCATGAGACATCTTGAGCAAATAGCATAAACCCTCAAGTCACTTCGTTCCTTTTAACTACAATTGCAACACTACAACGTATCTTAATATGGATCCAAAGTTGATTTTTCAACGATTTAGTGTTACCACTCAGAGTGTGGGGACCAGAATTCTTTAGTGTTGGAAGATTTTTTAATAATGTCGATTTTTGACATTGTATGATTCCAATAGTAGTTTGCATGGTTCGTGAAATGGTTCTAGGAAGGCTTGGAGTGATGGAGGACGGAATAGCATGAGCCTTGGTTGTTGGGGCTTGGCGATGGCTGTTCAATGCATATATATGAGTTTTTATCAACATCTATAACTATAAATTGATGTTTACATTTTGAGATATATGAAAATTCACCGTTGTTCTTCTATTTTCTTCATGTTGTAATCTTATATTTTTTGTCTTTATTCAAAAATATACTTGGTGCCCAATATACTGCAGTACGGGGTGACTAAGACCCTCATATACATTCTTATTCATCTATGGTGTTCGATTTGTTGTAGTTAGTGCATAAATGCCAACAAATATGATTTGATTACATTGTATCTTGGAAATTTATTCGAATCCCTTGTGCACCTTTTTTAAGGACAAATATAATCTTAAGGAGAGAGCTTTCCAATGTCTTGAAATCTATTGCGATATTTGTTATGGCTCTTCCTACGCCATTGCAAAGCGGTATCCTCACCAACAATCTTAAGACTATATGTCAAGAATATTTGTTATGGCTCTTTCTATGCCATTGCTTGGAGATTTTGCCGTTGATTTTGTGAAGTTGAAAAGGTTGATGGGGCAAACTTCCGCAGATGGAAGAACAAGTTACATTTGTGACTTACTACATTGAATGTGGTTCATGTCTTAACCACGCCGAAGGCTAGGAAACTCGAGATGAACCACTGACGAATGCAAGGGCCATTTGAGTCAAATAAGTTTGTGTTGTCTAAGGATTGTTTGTAAGAAACAAGAGAATGTTCAAACTCAACAATATCAATAAAATGACTACAAATTCCATTTATATTGTTTACTCTTTACCTTTATAGCATCCACGTTTAGGGTATGTGAATAATAGGAGATTGCATGACATGAGTTCACTTGATATACTTCCTACTTATAAACAAGACATGAATGACAAAACTTCATTGGTAGAACTTGTGCATAGTGATGTATGTGATTTACATAGTATAGGAGGCAAACTTTGCTTTGTGACATTCATTGATGACTTTTCTAAATTTTGTTATGCTTATATGTTTGGGACTATAGGACTATTGTCAGACTTTCTAAACCTAATATAAAAAACTTAGGGAAAAAATGAATACAGTGTTTGTTTTTTCCTAGGTTAGGCAAGCCGTAGTAAAGGATATAGATTTCTAGTTATAGAACCTAACAACTCGATTGAAGTTAACACCGTAACAGGATCAAGAGATGTTATTGCCAATGAACATAGATTCACTACTACTCCTATGTTAGATAAACAGGATATATCTCAACCTATTGTAACAGAAGCTAACAAGAGAGATGCAAATGAAGAAACTCCAAATTATTAAGAAGTAAAAGGGTTATAGAAAGGAAAAATCCTTTGAATCGAATTTCATTATGCATCTAGTAGAAGGTACTAGTGACTCACATTTAACTAAACTGCAATTATGTACTCTATTAAGTAGGATCCTCTTACATATGAAGAGACAATGAAATCAAATGATGTTTTATTATTATTATTAGCAACAAAAATGGAAGTTAATAGTATCTTCCACTGGGTTCAAGCTATTGATTGCTAGTGGATCTTCAAAAAAAAAAAAATGAAAGTAGATGGGACCATTGACAAGTTCAAAGCAAGGTTGATAAAAAAAAAAAGGCTCTACACAATAGAATGCCTTGATTACTCATACATCGATTGCAAGGACAAGCACTATAAGAGCATTGATTGCTTTGTATCTGGGGATATAAATGAGCCAAGCTGAGTTAGCTCGCGAGCCGAAACAAGTAGCTTAGGCGCGGCTTGAGTAAAAATGGCTCAAGCTTTTCTGACTGAGTCAAGCCGAGTCGATCCGAGCTAAAGCTTGGCTAGAAATCGAGCCTTCTACTTGGGCCTTACTAAGTTGAACTGGGGTGGCTCATTTTTTTTCCTCTTCCAACCACAACGATCGAAAGCAGACAAATTTAGATGCCTATGCTGCCTGCTTGCAGTAAGCAAACAGGCAACTACTGCAGCTATCTGCAAAAAGCGGCAACTATATAGAATGGGCTCGTCACGGGCCGTAAATGGCTCGTGTCACTAGGCTATTTTGATTAGCTTCATGGGTTGGCCCATATGTCCTGGCAAGCCACATGGGCCGGCTCAGGCTAGGGCCAACGCCTGAGAATGAGGCTTGGCTCGAGTCTCAACTCAATTTCACTGAGCCGGTAGCTGAGTTGGCTCAATCCACTTTTGGGCCGAGCCGCTGGGCATTCAAGCCGAATTGACATCCCTATTTGTATCCATATATAAGTTGGAAATCCTTCAAATGAATGTTAAAATTGCTTTCCTAAATAGAGAATTGGATGAAGTTTTAAGAACATAAAAGTTTTAAGTTGATTAAGTCATTATATGGAGTTAAACAAGCGCCAAGCAATAACAAGGAAAATTTGATAAAGTGATAATTGCAAATGGATTTATGATCGAAAATTTGATGGACAAAATGTGCCATCAACGAGAATTACAATCTTTAGCTCTAGAACTAAATCATTTCCTTGTATATGAGAAAAACTATACGTGGAAGATATGTTCATTTTCGGTACCGTCGTAGAAATTACTAATGATCCTAAGTATTTAATATCATCAAATTTTGATATAAAGATATAGGATTTGCAATGTGATTTTAGGGGGAAAAAAATCATAATGAATGATATCGAGATCATACTTGCCCAATCTTACTATATTGGCAAAGCATTGAAAAAGTTTGATCACTATAATTGCAAGTCGGTAGCTACAACTTTTGTTAGATTATATTCTAATGCATTTAGATTTGTATCTCAATTGGAGTATACGCGGATTATTGGATGTCTTATGTATGAAATGACATCTACAAGATCATATATTTCTTTTGTCATTGAAAGCTAAGTAGGTATACAAACATCTTAAAATATTTAAGAGGGAACATGGATTATGGAATAAATTATTCTGGTTATCTCAGTCTTAGAAGGATTTACGAATGCTAGTTAGATAACTCATGGAGATGCATCAACTCATTGATGGATTTTCTCACTTGATGGATGTACCATAGGGTTCAAAGAAGCAAACTTGCATTGTGGACACCACCATAAAAGCTGAGTTCATAACACTTGCTTCATGTAGTAAAGAAGCAAAATAGTCAATGAATTTCTTAAGAGAAATTCCTATTTTTCCTAAACTTAATGCCGCTGATTTCAATTCACTGTGATAGTGAAGTTACTTTATCTAGAACGTACGTATATTCAAATATACAATGGTACATCTATACATATTGGATTAGAAACTAGCTAGTTCTATGAGACAACTTATGTTGAATGGTATAATTACCATTTACTATATCCTTTGGTGAAAGGTCTTGCGAGGGATTCAGTTTGGAAAACATCAAAGGGAATGCGATTTTGGCCAACTAATAATCACCAGTGAAGGATATTTGACCTAACACTTAAATATCAAAGTCCTTATGTTTAATGAGTAAAGTACATCGCATGATTACAAACACAAATTTCATCCCAAGGTAAAAGTACTTGGTAAACATATTAAGAAAGGGGTGGTTGATCTGTCTTGCTCTTAAAATGACTTGTATGGAAGAATATCTATAGAACACTCTTGCTACAGGTTGATCCATACCAGAGAGCAATTTGTCCTTAAAAAAGAGTTTTAAATAATTGTTTTACATTATCTGTTTTGAGAGATTACTAATATAACCACACGGTCACATAATAAAAAATTTTGCATGTAAATCTAAATTTTTTCCTACTTTTTAACTGCACATTTTTCAAAAAAAATCACTATTCAAAATATCATTTTTTTCTTAATAATAGCCATCAAACATGGGCTTAGTATATTGGTCCAAAATTTTGCAAGAATATTAATTTAGTAAATTGGAGTCCAATTGGTACCAGAAATCAATTTAAATCTCCCATATGATGGAGGTCTTGGATTCGAATCCTAGGGGAAGCGTCAGAAATCCTTGAGGGGTAAGATGGGTCAGGCCCTTCCAAATCGGACAGTACGTACGATATGATGACGGCTCCACCGCGATGTCAGATCATTATAGACACATTCCAAATTTGAAAGGAAATCTTATCTCCTTAAATACTCTTAACTCAAAAGAGTACATGTACACTGTTGAAGGTAAAGTTCTAAAAGTTATCAAAAAAGCTGGTGTTGTGTTGATGAGATATTGAAAATTCCATTAATATATCTTATAGGGTGGTATAGAATTTTCGAGTAATCAGCATATTTTAAGATCTCAGGTAGTTTTAAAGTTGGCTTCTACACATTGGAGTCTAATTTAAGGTATTCTTTTAATAGTACATCTTAATTGAATTTTGAAGATATGGGTAAATATGTCTTGTCACTATTAGCGACGGTTTCATCGTATTCAATTGCTAGAGAAATAGACTCATTTTTTGCCATAAGATTCCACATAGATACAATTCTACTGATTTTGTTGATGATGTGAATGCGGCTAAGGGTGTTGATTCTAACCAAAATCCTTCTTTTGATGCATTCAATTGTGATTCTGTTACAGGGCTTGTTTCAGCCTTATTTGGTGGTCATTAAATCACTTTTTGCCCTTAATTAGGGTAGCACAGATGGAGAATATTTCAAATTAGAATTGTTGATGGAGAAGTTTTTTATGTATTTTTTATTAAAGAGTTCAAGTTTATTCCTTTTAGTGGAATTTGTATCCATGTGAAGATTTTTTTGAAGTTTTTTTCATTACAGTGAAATTCGTGTCAAGGTGAATATTGTTAGAATTTGGGTGAGACCCGAATTCTTTGTTGAAAAAAATTGAGAATTCTAATTAAAGTACACATTAAAAAGAATCCTATTTTGAATGCAATTGCGAAATTCTATTCAAATTTATTTGGTAAATTCTAATTGAAATTTTACTTGGAAGTCCATTAGGAGTAGGAATTTGTGTTAAACTTAAAGAGAAGTTTAGGATGAAGAAAATCAAGATTTTTGGAATAAAGGACCTGATAGTGAGAGCCGCGGCGCCACTATAATTTTGGCCTGGCGTCAACGCTGAGGTTCCTTGGTGTGCCTGTTTTGCCATCTGCACTATTTCGGTCTCCTTTTCGGTTTCGGACTCTGTTTTTGGCATTCAGTATTATTTATAACTCTACTATAAGGGTTTGAACGTCCCCTATTTGTTCTCTATATATAGTTGATTCTTCGTTATAATTTAGTAAAAAGTTAGAAGTTGTTAGACAAAGTATAAACACATAATATTTGTATTTTTTTTTCATATTATAATAAAATCTCCATTCTCTACAAATTATATTTTTCGCGTCTTCTTGTGATCAATTACTTCTTATTGTAATTTAATTTATTATCTTTTCACAACGAATTGATATTAGAACATTCTAGTTTGCATGATGTCAACCATTAGTGAGTATAATAAAAATGTGTCTTCTATGTATTGCTCTACTGTAGGGATGGCAACGGGGGCGGGGGGGCCCTCCCTGCCCCGCTAAGAAATTCCCCGCTCCATCCCCGTTTAAGTCGGGTCGGGGATATGTCCATTCCTCGTTTATTCTCCCATTTAATTTATTTTTTTTTAAGTTTTTGATAATTTATTTTTATTGCCCATATTCATTAGATTTGGACAAATAATTTTAGTTGCTTTTTTCTATTAGAACTAATAAAAAATAGGGGGGGGGCGGGGACCCCGTTACCCGTCTCCGCCCCCAACCCGCCCCGTTACCCGTTTAAGCGGGTTTTCCCCGCCCCGTTCGGGGCGGGGCCCTGCGGGTATCGGGTTTGTCAAGTTTTTTTGCCATCCCTACTCTGCTGCATCTTTATACTGTGTGAGGTGAAGGCTGACTGAAATGTAATGAAGTTAAAAGCAAGAAGACAGATTTGGGTACATGAAGATAGAAACAACTAAAAAACATTAGTACACACTAATGACCTCTTCAATAAGCAAGGCCGAGTCCACTATAAGAAAGAAAAAAAGTTAAAATCTTATTAATTATATTGTCGATTCTATCAAATACAAAATAGTGAACACGCAGACTAAATGGTTTCTTTTTATCAAAGTCAAATGATATAACCTTTAAATACTCAAATGGCATCAAGATGGATCTGAAGGTAGGTGAATTCTGATATTATTCATCATATTTCTTAAAACTCATCATATCTAAAACACTTTGCAACACCCCCACCCACCCCCCATGACTTCTATTACAATACAAGCAACCAAGAACCCAGGACAACTACTGACGTAACAGAACTAGTTTATGAGAGAGCTCAGCTTCCTTACCAAACACTTGAATTTCCCTCGAACAAGAGAAAAAAAAAATTTTAATCTTGTTTATTATACTATCAAGTCGAGTCGTGTTTAATATTGCATACCAAAGCGAGCACTCATGGACTGTCCTTTCTCTAGTGAATGGCAATGATGGTGACTATTACATTAGTTAATCATATTATTCTAATGCTAGAAACAACCACCAAAATAAAAACAAATTTGGCAGAGGGAACCAATGAAAGGAAGAATAAGTAAAAAGAAACAGAAACAAAAGAAAGGTTAATCACATTGATCAAGTTGCAAGATTATTTCCAAAAGAAACTTCAAGAAATAAGCAGATCTCCGGCAACTCAATTTACGGTTATGTCTACATATAGATTTAAAAAATACTTCAAGAAATAAGCAGATTTTCCCGGTAAATTTCCGCTGAGAATTCTTCCAACGGTGAACACAATTGACTTCAAGTTGCATACTAAAAGGAAATGAATGACAACATAACTCCAAAGACTTAATCTTAGTTTCTAGTCTTTAGTCAAAGAACTAACTAACAAAAGCATATTGATTTTAATGCCATTGCTTGAAAACTAAATAAACGGATAAAGTTGAAGTCTGCAAAAAATTGCAGCATATTCTTGGATCTAGCAAAAACTGAGATTAAGAATAGGATGTTGGGGGACTTCTTACAGTAATATGAGCAAAACAACTGCAAATGAGTGCCATTGGCCACCGAATTGTCTGTACATTGTAGCATCTTCAAGGAGCACAATCATCAGTCACAGCGAGTCATACATTCATTTCCAACTTACCACTGGAAGAATTGAGCATGATTGTCATCCTCCTCCTCCTCAGGAGCTGGAAGATTAAGGTCAAGTAAATCAGGAAGCTCTGGCTTTATTAATGGAGTTCGACTACTAGTTTCCTCGTGACCACCAATAAAATGTGACCTCTTGTGGCCACCCAAAGCCTGGCCATTCTTGAAAACCCTATCGCAGAATGGACATATGTGCACTTTGTTCTTCTTCGACTTAATTCCTTTCTTTGAATCAAGGGATGAATTTTTAGAAATCAGTTTTTTCTTGCTAGAAGACTCTCCGAGCTTATAAGCAGTTCTGAAGTCTTTCGCATCATCTAGACTGTTCTCACCCATTTCATATCGTGATTCAGAAGAGGCATTACTTTTCTTATGGCATGGTCTATGCCCACCAAGTGCTTGATAAGAGTTGAAGATCTTTTTACAGTTCAAGCATTCATATTTACTTCTTTTCTGAGCATTATCGCACACCTGATCATCTGAAGAGCCGTTTTTCATCTTACTACCGTATTCATTCCAACATTCAGGAACCTCAAATCTATGCTTTCTCTTTCGTGATTCATTTCTTGCCGAATTTGAAACTCTACCAGCATCATCATATCCATTTTCAAGAGCAACCTCCTTCTTAAGCTCTGTTTTATAACTCTTGACTCTGTTCAAGCTTTTCTTGAATTCAGAAATCGACTCCTCACCTATAGCTCCAAAACCCATCTGGAACTTCTTCCATTCACTGCAAGAACCATTTCTGTGATAGCCATCAACTGATCCATCGGACTCAACCTTAGCACATTCATCTAAGAAATACCCTGAATCAGATTTCTCCATTTGAGCAATATCTGCATCCAAAGTTCTACCTTTCAACTTCGTATCCCCAATTTTTTTCATTTGGAGAGCCTCGTCTTGATTATTAACATAATTTAAGCCTTCCTTTCTACCAATTCTCGTGTCAATAGAAGAAGATTTAGTTTCTAGAATCACTGAATTATTATCAGAAGACTCAACAACTGAATTCACACCACCTTTAGTTCCTGAATCCCTAGACAACAGCATTAAACACATAGCTACCTCCTCTTGTTCTTGCTCATCAATCTCAGAAATAGTCAAAGAACCATTATTAGCTAAAGAAAAGGCGGACGACTTGAAAATGATTTTCTTGAACCTCTTACTCTTTGATAATCTAGTTCTCAACATCCCGTCCTCAGATTCAGTATCCGAATGACTATCCATAACTAGTTTCTGATTCTCACTCGTCCAAGAATGATCATCCTTCAAACCCCTTTCCTTCTCCGAGTGACAAGCCATGTGACCACACAATGCTTTCAACGATTGAAACCCTTTACCACATTGCTTGCAAACCTTCTCCTGTGGCAGGGGAAAGGTCGAATCCACAGCCCTCCACGTTTTCTTGGGATTTTCTCTAAGGCCATAACTTGAATGCCCATTAGCAAATTCAACAACACTCGACTCATTTATGATAATCTTCCCCGGCCCGCCTAAAGAAGAAATCCTTTTCATGTTCGCCTCAACTTTTTCCTCAGATTCAGCAGAATTTGCAATTACATGAGACCTCATGTGACCCCCCAGTGACTTACCACATGGGAACCTCTTGTTGCAGAACTTGCAAACAAATCTCAGTTCTTGATCTTCCTCCATTGATTGAACAATTTTATTTGGCTCACCAAACAAAACAATAACTTATTAACAACCCAGTACTAAAATCAAGATCCACAAGCAACCAGTAAGCTCAAATTGCACAACAATGCATCATTTCTTGATCCACCAATACCCTAATAGTTAAACAAACAAATAAACAGACCCCAGATCAGAAAAATATAAATGAATTACTAAAGATAAAATCCCAAATATGGAACTAAGGATTGAGCAGAGATCACAAAGTCTATACCTTGGTATTGTGATTGGATCAGTTTTGGGGAAGTAAAAATCATACCCACAAGAAAAGGAAAACTCTCTGGAATTCCATATCTACTGCAATCTTGAAAAACAGGCATATAAATGACTCTCCCTATATAAATGTTAAAAGATTCAAGAAATTAATGCTGAAAAAATCAAACTTTTGAACAGGTGGGTCGGGTCTTGAACTAGCCACAGCCGAACAGGAATTAAAACAGAAACAGAAGACTATTTCTTCCTAATATTGCTCTATCCCCTACCCTTCTCTCTCGGCATATACTTACACTCTACATATATTTCTTGTTTCTAAGTATTCTACTAGGAGGAGAATTCCATGCACGAGAGCAAAATATGAGCAATAGGATGAGAAAAAGAATAAAAAGAAAGACAGACACGTGTACTCACAAGAGTATAGTTTGTTAGACTAAATCAAAGGATCAAGATCTGTTGGGCTGTTATTATGCATTCAAAATGGTATTCAGTGAAATTTGTGATAAGAATTTTACTGTGAAATACTACCAAACATTTCTTTCAAGATTTTAAGATTTTGAACTTATTTTGTATTTGCTCATTGAGGCCACAATTGGAAAAGCCCGAATCTTCAGCCGCTATTGTTCTTTGTATTTCCTTTTCTACCCCTGGATATATACGTACATTTGTATCTCTCTATATATTCCCCACATATTTTTATTTATAAATTATCAATAAATGAATACTCGCGATTAAAATGGGTATATTTTTTTTAGGAAAAAGATAATTAATTTGGCTGACCACTTTATGAGATTTAGAACTTATTCTCTCAGATTTGCATAATCAAAACTTATTGTTAAAGGGATGTTTTATACTTGGAAGAGTTTGAGAAAAGGGAGGGGTTAGGGATTTAATGAAAAAAAAAAAAAGTCATGTAATTTTTCTTACCTTGCAACTTTGAGTCCTTTTGTATTCTCGATTCCAAACCCGACTTACAAGACATTGTAGTAAGTTTAGTACATTAAGTTAGATAATACTGGTGGGCTCTAAAGAAGAAAAAACTCAAATTACAGTATGTAGTCATTTTTTAGTATTACGAACCAAACATATATTTGACGTGATAGTAAAAATGCTGATATTTTTAGTAACGAAGATATGATTATTGATAGCGTGATTTGATTATTCTTTATGGGGAGATAAAAACAGAATCTTTTCCATATCTATATCATGAATTTAGTCATTAGAGAGGAAATAAATCCAATAATGAATTGAACCTAAGAATCTAAAAGGAAGCACAAATACGTATAGCATTTTCCCAATTTCTTATTGCAATAATTTGTCATTATATAGAACATTACACAAACTTTCTTCTTTCTAGTGTAATGCAATAGTTAGGTGCTAGAATATTACCATGTATCATTCGTTAATGATCTTTACTATTACATGTGTAGATCGAGTAGAAAGTTCATGTGTCATTTAAGAAGTAATATACACTACAAAGAATGAACATTATGAAAAAATGAAAAAGAATTGGAGCCTTGTTCACTATATCATGAAATTTTATCTAGTATTATCGTATGTACCAGTACAATAACATGAATTGAGAACATACTTTGGAATTTAGCCTCTATTTGACAAAAATTAAAATCTAGATTTTAATTTAAGTCAAAATCAACAATTAATTTTAACCACATATTTTATGAGATTCACAACTTTTCGACCACACATTTCATCAACTTTTATTAAAATATGTTAAAATTTTAATTTTAATTTCCACGAAACGGGGCATAAAGTTAACTGCACTAAAAAGTTTGAAACTTATCTCTATTATATGCTAATCAAATTTAATATTACATGTTGGCGGTTGTGTCTCTCTCCAAGTAGCTATATGCACCAGGCCTCTCTCTTGTCTCATGCCATTAACATTTCTAAGTAGGTGAAAATGTCATCACCTCTCCTCAACTAAATGATAAAAGAAACCGACTTTGAGTAAAGTTAGTCATTTTTGGCCATATTCCCAATTATGACCACACTCATTTCTAATCTATTCTCAGAAATTATATGGAAAAAAATTGTAAATTTATAGTCATTTATGGATACATTGGTCCTACCTAATTCGAAGGAATAATCTATTCATTTTCATTCATTAGTTTATATGATAGTGGATTACTGTTAAATTATCTAACGGAGTTAAGATATATTTTAGTTTATTAAAAAATGTTACAGTGAGTTAACGATCACAGTGATACACATTGATGGTGAAGTTAAGTAGAAATGAATATCGTTAGTCGATTCATATTTCAAAGGTCGTTTATATGAGAATTCCTTTTATTCCAAAACAAGAGAGAGTACAAATTCGTAGGCATATTAGTTTCCAGAATAAAGATTTTATTGCGTAAAAAGTTTTTGTGTTCTTTATTTTTTGAGTTTTTGATGCAAGAAGCAATTTTCCAACTTCTTTTACATTTAATTCGTGGGTTACTATCCAATTAATTATCAAATGGAATCCACCTTCACTTCACAGCAATCACAAGCAACTACCAAAAAAGTAATTATCAAAAGCTGAATGATTCAATAATTATAATTAATTCATAAAAAAAATCAATTTTGGGTGTTGAAAATAAATGCCTTTTGCTTTCAAAGGCAACGTGTCCCAATTGTATTGACATGCTTTCTTGAGAGGGTTCGTTATGGAAATCGAATAGATAAGCAGCCTAATGTAAGTGATTATTTTTTTCTTAATTATAAGTAATTATCTTTGCATTTTACAGTTGACTTAAAAAGTCCCAAACCGGCTGTTTGGGTAAACTTATAAAGTTGTTAAAAAAAGTTGAGGTTAAAATTAATTATAAGCGATCCGTAATTTTTATCAATTTTTCAATCTCAAATTTTATCGAATTTTATTAAAATTTGCTAAAATTTTTATTAAAAGATTTGTCAAATAAGCATGACGAAAGTTTTACCAAACATCTATGAGCTGGCAAAGAATTAAGATGCCAAGTTGAAGATTGGCTTTTATATAAGATATAAGTTATCAATCTGGGCCATAATTCATAAGCGATTTTTCTGTGAAAAGTCTATTGCCCAATTTACAAGGTGGTTCAAGATAAGTTCTTCTTGCTAAAGACAAGGATATGATTTAATCGAAATTTAAATTAGGGAACATAACCTATTTAAGGTGTTTAAAATAAACCATTTCAAAATTAATAAAAAAAATTATTAATTAAAATTATTTTATAAATTAGATATATTAAAGTCACAATATTATACAATTTATGATCACGATTACGTACTAATCACAATTACTGAATGTTTCGATCACAAATCACAAATGTATCGTTCACAAATTATTAAATTAATATCACAAATCGCAAATTTTATATATCTTAACTTATTTTATGGTCATAAATTATCGAATTAATTGGTCACAAATTTTTTCTCGATCACAAATTATTATATTAATTGATCACAACTTAACAAATTATGAGTCGCAGTAACAAAATTAATTGTAATCTCACATTTTCTTTTATATTACATATTATTTATTAGACACAGGTTATTCATTTTATTAATCACATATTATTTATTAGCCGCATATTATTGATCACAAATCTACCATTCGCCACCTTCGCCCACATCAACCCATAGCAACCACCAACTATCGTCGACACCTCCTCATTCATCGGCAACCCCAATCCACACCATCATACAACTGACCTTCGCTTCTAAACTCCTCAGAATGCCAATCCATTAGCTCCATCCACCTTCCGTTCGCCAACTGTTGCTTCAAACCAAATTGATGCTACCTCGAAATCACCACCAATTGTTGTAGCGACGATGGCATCATCGTCATTGCTGCAGTGCGATAAACGACGCTGCTACGCCTGCGTCGTAAGCACCACGCCGACGGTGCCTCCAGTGGTGGTGTGTGGTAAAGAGAAATATCTGTGACCTCGAAATCGGAGCAGTTACCGGAATTAAGTGGTGGCGAAAATGTCGTCGGAATAGTCGCCGGAATTAAGTGTGGCCGGAGAACAGTCGTCGGAGTGGTCATCAGTCATCAGAATAGTCGTCGGAGCGTGGGGGTGGTGGAGATGGAGGTGAGGTGGGGTGGGGTGGGGGTGGGGGTGGGGTGGGTCATATAGATTAATTTAATTTTATAATATTATTAATATTAAAATACGGAATTAACATCTAATTTTTGTATAAATAAATCTTAAACTTGATTTTTGAAATTGGACCTTAAAAAACCTGCCTCCCTGTAATTTCCACTTTAAATTTATCTAAATTCCAATAATGCTAACTATCTTTATATTAAAAACTTAACATCAACTTAAATCCTATTCTTAAATTACGAGCCGTGACATAAACAAAGAATTTAGTAGTTTTGAATCATTCAAAAAATAAAAATAAAAATAATCGAAACAGAGAAAACTGATTCTTGTAATCGACTCCAAATCTATTCAAAACTATGCTCATTTTATTGTTGGTGTGTTTCTTCTTTTGTATTGTGGGAGACAAGGAGAAAATGATAATGCCTTGAATATTTTTAATCAATATAAAGTATCGAATCTTTTTTTCATTGCGGATGTTCTATAAGCCTTATAAGGTCATCAAGCAACGTGCTTTGAGAACTGCCACGGCCCACTTCGAATCCTTGGCCAGTCAAGGAATTTGTTCAGGATGGAAAAACATGGTCCCTATCTTGATTTTTTCAGGCTTTTAAATTCAAATCTGTAGGAATTGAAAAGGATTAAGTTTTCTATCAAAAC